AGTGTTTTTTATTTATAGTAATCTAATACAAAATACAAATACATTAAAAATGCTCCCTATCAATCTCTTATAGCTACATGAACATGCATTCAATTATGCAGTTCGAATGAGCTAACTCTATGTAGATAAAGTATTTTGATAATTATCAATTTTGAACTAACACCATGCATAAAAAATAGTTAGTTTCCTTTCTCACATTAAGGAAATTGATCAGCAATTTCACACAAATAAAATAATTGTGAAACTATATGCATAGATGTGAAGAATAAGAATAAGTTCTTATTCAATTTTACGAAGACCTGAGAGTTCGAACCAGAGCACTGAGCCTAGAGTTTGAGAAAATCCCAATGGCAAACAGGCTACAAAGAAATAGTAGAACTGGAGGAATTCCATGATGATAATTATAGGATTTGTGCTATCGGTCAGAATGAAAGTAGATAGGATAAATAGTTGTGAATTAATTTATACAATCGGAGAAAAATCTTCACCTCTATGCCTTTTGGCGCACCGCTAACTCCAGCCACATCGTAGAGCTTGGTGCTACCCATCATCTCATTTGGATTAATGACGGCCGAGCGTTCTGGTAGAACTCTGTAAAGCTGGGAAGATGGCGTCACGAGTCCACTAGAAGCCTCCATTGCGGCCTCAATCATGCTACGCTTGCGAAGTTCAATTGCGCTGCCTGGCGTCTCCATGCCTGCGTTGACCAGCATTATTGTACTGCCGGCGACACTAGACACACCACTTGGCGTAATTAGCCTGATACCGCGAAATAAGGTTGCATCATTGGACGGTAAATAACCACAGTGAAACCATAGAAAACCAAGAAAATTTAACGCTTAATGAGAATGATCATGAGATTACCACTACCATGATAAATATGATTTTAAGTGTTTAAATTCGTGATCTATGGTAATGGAAACCAATATATCGGCTCACAAAATTGTAACGGGAAATGCAGAAATAATATGAGATGTGAGGTTCAATTAGTTCAACCAGAAGAAGTATCTTAATGAATTGTAAGTTGTCATAAAT